GACGAGTGTATCCTTTTCGGATTCGCTCGGCTGGGGGCCAGCCGTGCTAGACCCGCGCGACCTCTGTGGGGCCTCGCACAAGGTGTGTGCGTGTGTGTGTGCGTCGCAGCACGCAGCGTGTGCATGTATGTATGAGTGTGTGTGTGTGAGGGCGATGGGTAAGTTGAGTAGCCACCGCGGCGCTATAGCAGCCAATTAATTTTAACGCCAATGTCGGCGGGAAAAAAGGCAAACTTTAATTAATTCTCGAAAGGCAACCACTACTTCCTTGTGACAGTGTAATTTTCGCTCTACTTTATCGTATTGGCCGTCCTTTGAGACGGAATTCAATCAGAGAGAACGCACCATCACACACACACACACACACACACACACACGTGCTGGGTGGCGCTGCAGCAACACTGCAGCCTTTATTTTTCGAGCCCCCACGTGCAGCCCAGTGCAGCTGAGCGATTTCGTCGCTCTGTCGCACTCGTGGCGCTCTCCGTAAGGGTGCGAGAGAGACGGAGCGACGACAAACCGATCTCCTGAATCGCTCGGCAGCCCCACCGCGTGGGCCAGTGAGTCCCTCGGGCAGCGGTCTGGGCAACGAGGCGAGTGGGCAGCGAGCTCCAGAGACCCAGAGTCCAGCAGCCCGGAGACCCAGTGGCGGATCAAGATCTGGTCTGAAGGGGAGGGGCACACTTCTTGCTTACTTACAGCAACAAAATTTTGTTTTTAGCCAACCATCTTGGGTTCCAGGGTGAAGCGGTTGAGGCGGTGGAGGGGATGGTATCCATCCCGCTCCGGATCCGACATTCAAAGTGCTAAGTCTTGCCAAAATGATCTCATTTCTGAGTCTGATGACAAAGTCACCAAAACTGTGGGTTGAATTCAAATTATCGTCGTTTTCCAGTGCCGAAAATGTCATTGCAGCAATGAAGTGACTTCAATTTTTGTTTTACAGTGACCCCCATGACTGGGCCGCGCCTCGGGCGAGCCTGCTACCGATTGGGTTCCTTTCGGGTCCTCGCCACGAGCTCGGAGTCCGAGCCAAGCCACCGTGAGATCGCTCGCTGTCACGAGGACCCAGACAGAGCATCGCGTCATGGAATTGACTCGAGAACAGGCTCGGTGTCCCGGACCCTACAATAATAGGCAAATGGGCGGTCAACCGGCAGCCTCGGTACGCTACACCACAAATCACGCCGCTAACACAAAACGGATAACCGCGGGAAAAGTTTTTTCTTTAAAAAAAAAAGTAAAAAAAAGGCCGCAGCACCGTCGGCGGGAATTCCTAATTCCGATATCATTGTTCGTGACCCAGTTGGAGTGAAGCTCACGGGGGGCCCCACGGGGGGCCCCAAAGGGGACTCGGCACGTACTGCATCTCGGTTGTCATGACGACCAGCAGCAGACTGATTCCGAGAGTCGTTTTCGTCGCCCTGTCTCTCTCGCACCCACACGGGACGGCCCATGAGTACGAGAGTGACGGAGAGACGAAAACGAATCTCGGAATCAGTCTGCAGAGGCGGCCGAGTGATGATGGATCTGGGGACCTGGACCTCGGTGACGCCGAAGCGGTGAAGCGGCGAAGCGAGTGAAAATAAAATACGAATTAACGCGCGGGAAACGCGGCTAATGTCCAATGGGATCGCTCGGGCTGCCGCTGCTGCATTCGAAAAAAACAAAACAATAATGACGAGAAAATCTAAACGCGCTCGCCGCGCTGCTGCTGTGTCTTCTGAGAGTCTCGCCTTTTACGAGAAACAGAGAGAGAGAGAGAGAGAGAGAGAGAGAGAGAGAGAGAGAGAGAGAGAGAGAGAGAGAGAGAGGCGGGAAGTACACACGCGGGACTCTCCAACGCGGCGGCGGTCTGACGGATGACTACCATTTGTCGGTTTGTCGGAGTTCTCTATGGCGGGGCGGGGTGGGGTGGGGTCGCGTACGACCGGGTATGCGGGGCACATAGCTCCACGAAGGGGCGGGCTGAGGCGTGGCGGGGCGGGGCCGCCACCTCGTGGGGTTGGAGAGACCCGACAGCGACCCAGCGCCCCTCTAGCGAGGCTCACATCGGGCGGACGTGCAAACTAGACGAGGCCGCGCGGTGCACACAGCGGAGCATCGAATCACAACAAGAAAGTCTGGAGCCAACCCAAGAGGCAGGCGGTCTCGCACCCAGAACACTTGGTGCTTGTACTCGAAAATGTTGCAGCAACCATAGTTTATAGCTGTAGTTATAGTTTATAGCTTTACCAAAAATTACAAAGCTGTCACTTTACAGTTGTTATTCTAAAGTATTTTACACTGTGAGAAAAAAGTACGGAAAAAGTACGGAACATGGAACTTCCGTACCTTTTCTTCGTACCAGTTTGCATGGGTTCATATGGAGCAAACGGACGTTCCGTACTTTTCTCCGTACCTCCGGACTATATTTTTCTGTACCATTTCCGTACAAAAGTGCGGAATTTTTTACAGTGTAAGGGGTCAAATGCGAAGTGTTTTTGGGGTGCGGGTAGTTTTTTGAGGGTTTTTTCATGTCAGTGTTTTTTTAGGATGTTTTCTCAGGTTTTTTTTTTAAGGATGTTTTCTGTCGATGATGTTTAGGTGTCTTCTGTGGGTGTTTTTTGAGGGTGTTTCCCATTTTCTATGGTTGTTTTCTGAGAGCGGAGCGCGGGCGGCAAAAAAAGGAGGGAAGAAAGTTTGGGCGGGCCAGAAATAAATAATTTGTTGCACTAATTAGACAGCAATGCGTTAGGGAGCGAGAAAAAGGCGCTCGGGGTGTGTTTCAGTGTTCCGTAGGGCAGGGCGGCGTGTCGTCCGTCATGTGGCGCGCTCACAAACCAGGCCGATAATAGAGCGAGGTGAGACCTTTCGGTCGGCCCTAATGGCGCCACACGCACACACACACACACACACACACACACACACACACACACACACACACACACTTACACACATACATACACACTTACACACACACACACACACACACACACACACTCGCACACACATGACGGCTTGCAGAGATTATTAGAACGTAATTAGTGGGGCGCAATGCGAGCGCGCGCAAGGTGCGCAAGGTCCCGAAGGAAATCATCGCGCAATTGAAAAACGAAAAAAAAAATTCGTCGAGAGACTCCGAAGCGTTAAGAGCTGCATAATGCTTGCTTGCTGCCCAACTCGGTAGGGCGGCGAAGGGAGTCCACATTCACTGCAAGTATACAGGATTGGAAAACGAAACTCAGAGCTGTTTCTGTTTTAGTCCTTGAGTTACCCCTTTGTATGGTTCGGTTTAAATCGTTTAAATACACGCAAAAGGCTTGGCTAAATTTTTATGAATGGTACTAAAAATTTTAAGATTGACGCTGATTTAACGATTGCAGAGCTGAAAAATTTTCTGGCTGAATTCATACATAATGTTGTTAATTATCTGAAAGGGATGACGGACGATGATACTCGTACATCGTTGAAGCAACTGAAGATATTTTTTTTGCTCTGGGAGCGAAAATCGTGAAACTGCTTGATTAGTATCCCGGTAATTCTTTTTCCGCGACGTCCGCACGCAGCAGACGACGCGCAGTACGTACTTGGCGGCGGTAGCCCAGTGGCGCTGCTGCACTGCTATCGCGCGGTCATCGCTTCCACGAACGAGGTGAACCTAACTCCTCGATAGACTGGTGGGCAGTGTGCCGACTGCTGGACCGGCCTGGAGCCAGCCCGGCACCTGCAGTGCCTAATGTACACAGATAACCTTTGGCTCTGTGTGTGTGTGTGTGTGTGTGTGTGTGTGTGTGTGTGTGTGTGTGTGTGAACGTACACGGAACGAACTGACGGCGTTTCCTGAAAAATAAGAAGACGGGGAGGTGATAAAAAGGGGGCCCGGGGGCGCCACTCTGCCAGGTGGTCAGGTCCACCGGCCAACATTGTGCATACATAAGTATAAAGCCCGTGGTGGAGTGGCTAGCGCGCGGAGAGCTTTAAAAACGCGCTTTCCCGCCAAAAAGCACGAAGCCGCCGCGAGCGCGAGGGCCCCGCGAACTGAGGGCCCCGGTGTAAAATCGTTTATTGGGGGGTGGATTCAACACGAATTCGGCATTATCGCGTTGCTGCCGGGAAAGTCAATGTTGTGTGTGTGTGTGTGTGTGTGTGTGTGTTAATGTGTGCGTGCATGTGTGTGAGAGTGCCACTGTCGGCCACTGTACTCCGGGGCAGTGCCCAGGCGCCACGCTCTGCAGTTGATTCCGCGGCTGATTCCTCGCATCTTTGTCGTCGCCTCGTCTCTCTTGCAAAGGGTGCGAGAGAGACAGCCCCGGCAGCAGCAACAACAACATGAACAACACAATCAGTGCGTGTGCATCTTAAGGCTGTTCGCGGCATATTCGCGTAAAAGCGCCACTTTCATACGCCGCTGAGTGTTTACGGGGCGCTCCTGCTGTTCGTCCACGCTCCCTTCCGTACTAATTGCAATCAATGCTACATTAGGACGCCGCCCCTGCCAGGGCTCATTTGGAGCGGGGATTTCTCTTAAGAGGAATGCAGCTGTACTCATCCAATTTAAAAAAAAAATATAGTGGAAACTGGAACAAAATTGGAAACAAACTTGAAATGAGAATATAAACAAATCATTGAACGATGTGACCAAAGTCGTGTGTCACTGTTGTCGCCGTGGAAGCCTGATGTTGTTGTCGTTGTCTTCGTTGTTGTCGCATTGGGTTTTAAACTTACAACCCCGTACGGCCTATAATAGTGTCAAAGAGTGAACCCCCGACCCGGAGTGCCTGGTTCCAATGCATCCGAACAACATTAACGGACGACAGCAACAACATTACGACGACGACAATGACAGCAACAACAACATCCTGATGACGACAACAGCGAAAACTTGACGACGACTTTGACAGCAACAACAACATCCTAATGACGACAACAGCGAAAACTTGACGACGACCTTGACAGCAACAACAACGTCCTAATGACGACAACAGCGAAAACTTGACGACGACCTTGACAGCAACAACATGACGATAGTGACGACTGCAACACAATTTGACGGTGACGACGACGACGACAGCAACAACATGACGATAGTGATGACTGCAACACAATTTGACGGTGACGACGACGACGACGACGACAGCAACAACATGACGATAGTGATGACTGCAACACAATTTGACGGTGACGACGACGACGACAGCAACAACAGGAGGACAACATGTACACATGACGACGACGACAGCAACAACATGACGACAACAGCAACACATGACTACGACAGCAACAACAACATGACGACAACAGCAACACATGACGACGACGACAGCAACAACAACAACAATGATGACGAGGGCGCCGCCAGTGGCGCTTCCTTTAACAGTGTCGTGTCACAAAATGAAGACATCCCCGGCGTGCGTCCGCCACCACCACGTGCCACACCGGCCCGTCAAAGCGCCTAGCCCCGGCCGGGGCCCACAGTGTAGGGCCCCACAGTGTAGTGGCCCCGCCGCCGCAATCAGAGTCATTTTCCGAATTTTACGACGTGTTTGCCGTGGCATCGCCGTGCCACCGGTGACCACAAAAAATAAGAGTTGATTCCGTTTAGGGCTGGGAGCTCATCATCAGCAGCTTTCTCTCTGAGTTACGACTTCCCCCACGCCTCGGCGGCTCGCTCGGACCTGCACTACGCGCCGGGCCCGAGCCCCGGCCGCGCGGGCAACCCCTCGTACACTCTCGCCAGTGCAGTGCAAGAGACAGAGACAGAGAGCGAGAGAGAGAGAGAGAGAGAGAGAGAGAGAGAGAGAGAGAGAGAGAGAGAGAGAGAGACTAACACACAGAGACACTCACGCATGCACGCGTAACGCCAGTGCTGCAGTGCCCTGATGTTGCAGTAGGCACACGCAGCCTGGGGTGAAAAAAACAACACAAAAATGACTCCGCAAGCAGCAGCTAAAGCACATGGCCAGTCTAGGCGCCATGCTGCCCTGCAGACTGATTTCGAGAGTCGGTTTCGTCGCCTCTGTCTCTCTCGCTCCCATACCGAGGCCGCCCCATGTGTGCGAGAGAGACAGAACGACGAAAATGACTCTCGGAATCAGTCTGCTGGATAGCGAAGACGGCAATTATAAAGCGCTAGCATCGGCACCGCGAGGCTGGGCGAGGCTGGGCGAGGCGAGGCTAGGCGAGGCAAGGGCGGAGGCACAGACACTGCTGCTACGGGGACCGAGAGAGCAGAGGGGCCGACACACGGAATTGAATAAGATTGAGCCATTACGCGCTTCTGTGGTTGTGTGTGTGTGTCCGTGTGCCTGTGAGTGAGTGAGTGTGTGTGTGTGTGTGTGTGTGTGTGTGAGACTGCCTGTGTGTCTGTCTCTGTGTGCCTGTGTGTCTCTGTGTATCAGCGTGTGAGTGTGTAAGTGTCCCACAAGGGTGGGAGAAGAAAATGAGACTGAGGTGAAAGAGGGAGAGATATGAGCCGGAAAGGGGGAGGACAGGGGCAGAAAGAGGTCTCTCTCTCTCTCATTGTCTTTCTTTTGCTCCCTCTGTGTGTGTGTGTGTGTGTGTGTGTGTGTGTGGCGCGCTGCACTAGGAGGCACGCACTTGGTGGTGAGGAAGGGGTGGGGGGATAATTTCATCATTATAATACAATATCCATTACCAAGTTTGAAAATAATTGATCGCGCGGTAATGCAGTAGCGTGCCGTACTGCGTGACTCCCGGCGCGGCCACCTCGCGGCTTATTGCTACACGGCCCTTTCATTTTCGACCAGTTTGGACGGAAAAAGAAACAAAAAAAAGAGAGAGAAAAAGTGGAAGGAAAAGAAAAAGGGGTAGAAGGTGGGGGGGGGGGAATAGGTGTTCGATTTCGACGACAGCGTGCCTTCTTGCCAGCCAGCCTGGTGTAACGGTGTAATCTTTTAATTCGCATTGACTGTTATAAATTTTAGAAAAGTTTGAAAAAAGTTGGTGAAGAAGTAGGAAAAAATGGGAGTGAAGAATAGCTGCGGCCAGGCCGGCGAAACACTTGAGGACCACCTCGGCGCTGTGGTCCGATTCCGGACGGCGCTCCGACGCTCTGGGTCACTCTGTCTCTCTCGCACTCGTGGGGCGCCCGGGGTGGGTGCGAGTGAGACAGAGCGAAGAAAGCAGTGTCCAGCCCGGGGCGTACCTCATCCCCCCTAATGCGACTCCAACACGCATTTCGGATTTGGGTTGCTGATTGATTGGGGAAAAGTGCTGAAACGAACGCAGAGCGAGTCGCCGACACGGCAGAATTAATTCCTGTGCCCGTCCATTTAATCTGATCCGCTTCGATCCGAACTAGGATTAGGAAGGATGCCCGCTTGTAGGGGCTATCTGTGCGCTGGCGAACGGACAGCCAGACAGACAGAGAGACTGACTGGCAGACAGACAGATACCTCGGACAGACGGACAGACTGTATTATTTACTGCCGGAGGGGACATGATATATTGAATCCTACTAGCCGTTTCCACTTGCTGGCTGAAAATCATTGTCACCAGCTGTCCGCCGGGCCCTATCAGGTGCCAGGGCCTACACTGGGGCCCGCTCTGGGGCCTACACTGGGGTCCCCAGCACACCAGCAACGCCCTCCGGACGCGCCCATCGCCAGGACAGCAGCACAACTTTGCTCTTCGTCAATTATCACACCGTGGTTTTAGAAACGATACAGACAAGTAATTAATTTCCGTTACACTTAGGATCCATACATATCGACTTGCAAGTTAGCTATGGCAAAAAATATAGATTTAAACTTTGATGTGTCCTGCTATCGCACTCTTATCAGCCTACGAAGAATTTCCTTCATAACTTCAAAGAAAATGGCGGCATTGTAGAGTTGCTTCGCATTATGAAGGAATGCTTCGTATTACGAAGGATTTTGCTTCATAATACGAAGCATTTCTTCGTAGGTTTTACAATGCCTTCATTTTCTTCGGATTGCGAAGCGATTCTTCGTAGAGTTTTTACTGTGCGCCTGCTATTCATCGTGTGAATCGAGCCAAAAAGGCACTGTCGAAGAAGAGTGTTTGAACGCGGGTCCTTCGCCCCCGTTACCGGCAGCTCAACCCCCACGGCCACGGCGCCAAGGAAAATAGACTACCAAAGTCTTTCCCCCACCACGACTCCCTGCTACTGCCTCATCGGCCGCATCGCCAGCGTTGCTAAGCAACCCTGCATCCAAACAAATTTAGCGCGCGTGAAACATAACCTCTAAATCTGATCTTCTCTCGCATTTTGGGCTCCATTGTACCAGTTTTGACCAGAGGAAGTCCTTACCAAAGAACAGATTTGAAAAACATGTATTCATGTTTAATGGTTTTATTTCTGTTGTTAAAGTATTCTTAGAGGTTATGTTTCACGCGCGCTAAATTTGTTTGGATGCAGGGTTGCTTAGCAAACGCTGGTGCTGCAGCCGATGAGGTAGTAGCAGGGAGTCGTGGTGGGGGAAAGACTTTGGTAGTCTATTGGCCCTGCTTTTGCGGCCTTTCACGACACTGGCGCTGACGCGGCCGAAGCGTGGGAGGTCCCCGGGGAGGTCCAGCCAGCATGCATCATCTCTTTGCATAGCGCTTACTCCGCTTAGTCTGCTTGGTGCGTGCGCCGCGTGCGCCATGGCGGCGTCGTCGTCACAGCGCAGAATACTAGTGTCCCCACTTGACACCAGGGGGCGCCAGCAGACTGATTCCGAGAGTCGTTCTCGTCGCCCTGTCTCTCTCGCACTCTTACAGGACGCCCCACGAGTGCGAGAGAGACAGAGCGACGAGAACGACTCTCGGAATCAGTCTGCTGGAGGCTATTGCCAGGAGGCCCCAGACGTGACCAAGCCGAACCGAACGACGCACCGAGGAACTTTGTGCGACATTTTCTTATAGAAACAAAACGTGGAAAAAATTATGAAAAAAATTTAAAAAATTTTTTTTTTTCTGCCAGTGGGGGAAACTGCCGAGCGTTTCAGCGTGTGTAGCGCTGTCCTCGCGCGTCCTCACGCGCTGGCTGTAAATCTAAGCAAGTGCTTCCTGGGCCTGTCATTCCACTGAATGAAGCGTGCCGCGTGTGTGTGTGTGTGTCTAAGTGTGTGTGTGTCTAAGTGTGTGTGTAAAAGTTTATATTGGTGTTGGCTGTGCGCTGCTTGTAAGCACCCGACGATTTGGCCGGGTCGGGCCGCAAGACAGACCGCCGCGAGTTTCAAATTCGACGTCTTGGACGACCATGATAGCCGCCAGCGGCTATACAGTGGTCAGGTGAGAAGAGGCGCCCTCAAAATTCTCCGATTACACATAGACTGCCTCCAGCATGAGGAAAAGCGTACGCGTGGCGCGCGCGCACACACACACACACACACACACACACACGCGCGCGCGCGCACTCAAGGTGTTGTCGCGCTAACGCAAGGGGAGCTCCTGGCGAAACACGAGACCCCGTCACTATTTTGCACGTGCTCATGACTCGAGGGGGTAAACACTTCAAGAAATCGTGTACAGACTACTCGGTATTACGCTGTATTACGGAGGTATTACACGTGTATTACGGCCTTAAAATGCAAAAATTTGGCACATTTGACCCGAAAAAGGTATTACGACCACGTGTATTACGCGTAATACACGGTTTTTGTGTACAGGGTATTACACGAGTGGTTACCCCCTCGTCATGACTTCGCCTCGTCGGGACGCTGTAGCTCACACTCTTAAAACCTTACGAAGTATTTTGAGCATACATATAACAAACTAAAATACTTTGTTATACGAAGAAATAGTTTTTAATTACAAAGTATTTTCTTTGTAAGCTTACGTATGCTCAAAATACTTTGTTATACAAACTACTTTTCTTTGTAAGGCCCAAAATAGTTTGTAAGGTTTTCTCAGTGCACACTGTAGCCTTCTAGTCCCGTCGCATTATGGCCATTTTACGGAGAAAGAAATCGGTGTTGTTGTTATATCTGTTGTTGTTTTGGGACAGAGACTCCAATGACGTCGTTGAAATGAATGGACGGAGCTCGTGCGGGCGGGGCCGTCCCGCCGACGCGCCCGAGGCCTCGGACCGCCTCGGACTCTGTGACGGCGTCCTGGACGAGTCCTGGACACGGCGGTGGCCTCGCCGCGCCGCGCCAATCGGGGAGGCGGATCTCTATGAGGGACCGCGCGTAAAGCAGCGTTCTAATTCTGAGAGGCTGAAGTGAGTGTGCCTTTGCAGAAGGAATGTGCATCAAACTTTACAGGAGGACTATTCATCGAACTAAATCTAGGAGCGGAGTTTTCATCCAACTAACTCTAGGAGGAGTTTTCAGCCCAACAATTCTAGGAAGGAGGAGTAAACTAACTCCAGGAGGAGTGTTCATCCAAGTAACTCTAAGAGGAGTGTTCACCCAACTAACTCCGGGAGGATTGTTCATCCAACTAACTCCAGGAGGAGTGTTCATCCAACTAACTCCCAGGGGGGTTGTTCATACAACTAACTCCAGGAGCAGTGTACTTAGCACTCTTTGCATCGTGTAGAGCGCGTCTCACGTGCCGTGCCGCACCATGCCATGCCGTGCCGCACCTGAAAGGCCTGACGGGCAAACGAAAGCAGCGCGCCCTTGCGACTCAACCGTCTGGCCAGTGCGCAGTCTGTGCAGTCCGTGTAGTCAGTCCGCAGTCTGGCGGAGGGAGATGGATGGATGGATGTCTTGCAGGGAGGGCCTTAAAAACGGCCGGCCGGACCCTATAAATAAGGCGAGGGGCCTCGTGCCGATAGCAAGGCCGCGGCGTATGTGTGTGTGTGTGTGTGTGTGTGTGTGTGTGTGTGTTGTGTGTGTGGTGTGTGTGTGTGTGTGTTGTGTGTGTTGTGTGTGAGTGCGCGCATGTGGGGCGTGGATACATGGTAAATGGCCAAGGCGCCTCCGTAATAACACCAACAACAGATCGCCTCCGTTATTTCTTTCCTTCCTGCTCTCTCTCTTACACAGGTACTAGGTTGATGCGGCGAGGCGCCGTTCATCTCTCGCCTGGACGTAAAAATTGTCATGGCGTTCTTGACTGGCAATCAGCAAACAGACCGGGTGCTATAATGTTTCCGATGGGACGCGTTCCCTCAGAGCACACACACACCAGCATGCACGCGCACACACACACACACACACACACACACACACACACACACACACACCACACACACGTCCGCCCCGTGCTGGCACAAATCGCCGGCCGGGCCGGCCAACTCCATAACCACCCCCTGAAACAGTCCGGACGCCGCCGTTGGCGCGCGAAATTTGAATTTGTTGCGGAGTTGCGATATTTATTAGTGAAATTGGATTCTGCGTCCCTGCTGCGTCCCCTTTCACCGCGTGTGGCGGTGATGCTGCCCTGCCCGGCCCTGTCCTGTGCTGTCCAGGGCCGGGTCTGCTCGGCTCGGCTCGGCTCGGCTAGGCTCGGCTCGGTTCGGTTCGGTTCGGTTCGGTTCGGCTCGGCTCGGCTCGACGCTCGGCTCGACTCGGCTCCGTTCGGACGCCACATAAACTTGCATCTTGGATGGGTAGTTCGAGACGGGCCACCTGTGCGCCCCTCGGCGGTGCTGACGCGCTTCGCGCGCTTTGAACCGTCCGACCGAAGGCTTCTCGCCAACTTTTGTACAGAAGTGTGTCCCGCCCCACTAACGCGATGGCTCAATTAGGCCGACCAGCGGCACGAGAAAGAGTGCATCACTTTCAACCAGTCCCCCAGCCCCTACCCGCACGCTGAACACCTTACATAGTAATTTGAGCAAGGAAAAAAGTTTGTTATACGAAGAATTAGATGGAAAATTACGAAGTATTTTCTCTGCAAGCTTATGTATACTCAAAAATCTTTGTTAAAGCAAGCTACTTTTAGGGTCTAATAAAATTTGTAAGGTTTTCAGAGTGCATCCATTACAGTAAAATGCCTACACTAGATCCCTTACGAACGAAACGAAGGAATTTCAAAGTCTAGGAAGAGGACTTGCTTCATACTGTGATGGAAATTCAAA